TGGGATAAATGCAGAGCACTAATTCCGAGTATGGGTCACCATACTTGGCCACATGTCACGTCACTTTCACTTTATTGGTCAAGATGGAGCTGTTGTATTTGTAAGACATGGGGGGACTCTTGAGTCAGGAATCTCAAGATAAGCAAAATGAACAGGACAACAGCCAGGTACCAAGTGAAAAAGGCAGCTTAAACAATGCAGCAGATAGTGAAGAAAACACAGACAGCGAACAAGAAAACATCAGCGACAGGGAGGTTAATACAGGAGAAGTGGTTTATCCTAGAATGACACAACCTGAAACAGATCACGATGTGTGTGGTAATCCTGTCTCTTCTGCTGGTGTAAGGTTAAAAACAGGACAGACTGTAACATTTATGAAACAGGACTGTGGTGGTCTACAGAGAGCCAAGGTTTTATGCAGAGCAGGCAAAGCCTCTGGAAAATATAAAAACTGGTTCAATCTGCAACATATTGAAAATGATGGCAGTGATGGGCAAAAAGAGTCAGTGGATATGTCATGTGTTGATAATCTTCACATTGAATCAACTGATAGAGAGGCTAATGTACTCATAACAAAAGATATTTAATTTGATGCAGCTAAACAGGATGAAATGGTGAATTGGTACAAAAGCAATGTTTTTGAGGAAGTTGACGATGCAGCTCAAAAGTGTGTCTCTACCAGATGGGTCTGTAGTCTCAAAGAAACTCTGAATGGTATTGTGCCCAAAGCGCGACTCGTAGCCAGAGGTTCCCCAAACTGTGCTTCTGACTCTCTTAGGCTATTATTAGCTGTAATCTGTCAATATAAGTGGCAAGTCCATTCTATGGACATCAAATCTGCTTTCTTGCGGGGCATGCAGTTGTCCAGAGAAATCTATGTCCGGCCCCCTCCTGAAGCAGGAAAAGAAAATGTTCTATGGAAACTAAACAAGTGTGTTTACGGCCTTGCAGATGCATCATTGTATTGGTACAACAAAGTGAAAGAAATCATGCTGAGTGCAGGTGGTAAAATGTCTAAAGTAGATCCAGCAGTATTCTATTGGTTGGATGAACAGTGTGAGGTTACTGGAGTACTCGCATGTCATGTTGATGATTTTCTTTGGGCAGGCTCACAAAACTTCTCAACAGATGTGATACCTACACTAAAGTCTGCAGTACATGTTGGACGTGAGGAACATGAACATTTCTGCTATGTGGGAATGGACTTTGTTACTATTAATGGTGTAGTTCATGTACATCAGCATAGTTACATTGAAAACCTACTGCCTATTCAACTGCAAGTAGCATGTGCAGTGCAGAGGGATGCCTCTCTTAATGAGACTGAAAAAGAGCAGCTTAGGTCAAAAATAGGACAAATACTGAGGGTTGCAAAACAAACCAGACCAGACATTATGTTTGATGTATGCAGTTTAGCATCAAATATAAAGTATGCTACAGTCCAGTCTATTCACGAGACAAATAAGGTCATTAGAAAGCTTAAATCTGAAAAGTTGACTCCGGTTTCAACATTTGGGAAACAGTGATGCTCTAAACTTTGTTGTTTTCAGTGATGCTTCCCTTGGAGATCCTCCCTGATGGGGGCACACAGGGGGAACATTGATTGGTCTCAGACGGAGGGAAGTTTTCTTCTCTCTGTTGGCAATCTAAGAAAATTAGACGTGTGGTGAGGAGTACTCTGGCAGGGGAAACTCTGGCCCTGTCAGATGGAATAGATAATGCTATTTTTCTGACTACTCTCTTTTCTGAACTTACTACTGGAAATGCTGAGCTGAATACTCCTCTGTTGATCTGTGTGACAGACTCCCTGTTTGATGCCCTTAAGTCAACAAAACAGGTCTCTGAGAAACGTCTTCGACTTGAAATAAGCAGCATAAAGGAGCTCATACGGAGTAAAAGAATCAAGAAGGTACTCTGGCCGGACACAAAAACTCGCTGACTGTCTAACAAAAAAAGGAGCGTCGGCCCTGATGTTATTGAAAGCACTTAGTTAAGGACTGGGGACACTTACTAATAAAAATTAAAAAAAGAGAGAGGAAAGAGGTTCATTTGAAAAGACTCTATGCTTTCAATCGGAATTTTTTTGGTAACTAATCTTTGTTTTGTATGTTTTTTTTGTTTAAAGTATAGGGAGGTTGTTAGCATGTTATTTCCTCCCTACTCTGTTCACATGGAAGAAGGTTCTTCCGGGTTAAAAATGAGGTTAGCGCATGCGCTGGTTCAAAGGTGAGCACGCGGGTAAAAAGGAGGCGTTGTTGTCATGGAAATTCACTGGTATGGCATCCTGTTTCACGTGCTGTGTTTACCATTTGCTAGCTGGAGGCGAGAGATTCGAGTCCGGAGGCTCGAGGACCGCCTGAAAGGAGAGACGTGGTACTATAGCCCCTGTGGCCGGAGGATGAAGCAGTTCCCCGAGGTCATCAAGGTGAGATCTGTTATACTAGCACACCAGATGATCACCCACAATACTACTGTAACCTAATCTGCGTGAGTGATAACAAGGCTGGTCTTCATCCAGTTTCTTTTGTCTCTCTGCATTCTCCAGTTTCTGAAGAGGCATCAGGATGCTCTCCAGGGCGTTTCGAGAGAGCACTTCAGCTTCAGTCCACGCATGCCAGTGGGTGATTTCTATGAGGAGCGGGAAACCCCTGAGGTGTGTATGAAGATGTCTGCAGGTGCTACAGGCAAACATGTGGTTTGTGGATTCAGGACAGTTACACTGTTGCAAGGCATGTCATTGCTTTTTAATTTGTTACAGGGTATGAAATGGTTCCTCCTCGCCAATGAGGAAGTGCCCTCCATGATCATGGCTATAACAGGCAGACGTGGTCGTCCACCAAATCCAGACAAAGAGCCTCGTTCCCGTGGCCGCCGAGCCAGAGGAGCCCCAGGTAGACGGCCAGGCCGACCTCCCAAGCCCAAGATGGAGGATCTGCTCAGCAAAGTGGACGCTAGGCTGCTGAAGAGACTGGAGGCAAAGGGTGAGTCTGAATTTGCAGATCAGGTGGTTTAGTAAAAATGTGCTTGTTGCAGAAGTACTACCTTTTTATTTTTCGTCATTTTGTAGTTCTAGCTTTTTATGTGAAATATAATGAGCATCTTAGCTCAGTTCATGTTCATTGTTTTACAGAGGATCTCACAGAGGAAGAAAAAGAAAAACTGGTTAAGATCAAGAAGAAAATGAAAAGAAAGGTGAGCTGACTTGTTATTTATTACAAAAAGTGTGTTTTGGGGACCAGCTGATCATCTGATTTTTGTCATGCAGGCAAGAATGAAAAGAAAGGAGGATGCAAAGAATAAAAAGATCCGGCAGGAGAAACGGAAAGCCAAAGTAAGAAACTCCATGTCTTCAAATATGTTCAGAACTTAATAACAGGGTTCATGATGATGAAAAACCTGAAAAATCTGAAAGATTATGCATTTAAATACAATCTTGAAATTAGAAAAAAATTGAATAATGATAATATATCTATGTAGCACCTGTTAAATGTTTCCTAAGCACGGTTTGTAATCGGTTATAAATTTGAATAATGTTTGTAATGTTTTCTTTAATGCTTTTTCATTTTTTTTTTTCTTTTTTTTTAATATGAAAAACAATGGTTAAAAAAACCTAAAACAGCTAAAAATCAAGATGCAAGTTGCAATCCTATTTCTTATTTTAATTTGTTCTCTTAACAACTGTCTTTTTTATTTAACAACCAGAGTTCTAATGATCTTGGACAATCTGGAATTTTAACTGTATATTTTACATATAGACCTGGAAAAGTCATGAAATGTAATACATTAAAATTTTTTATAAAGCTATATATATATTACTGGCTAGAAATGGCTAATTATAAGTAAAAAATAATTGTAAAACCTGTAGTCACAAGCTAAAAAAGTCATGTAAAATTCATGTTATAAAAAGTGTAAACCACAAAGAACATTCAGTTATTGGAATTATGAAATTTCATTTTAATTATAGTTATTTTATGTTATTATTTTTAATATTTTGCCACTCCTGGTTTCTGTAAATTAATAGTATATCAGAAGTAAAGGCCTTTAAATATCGTCTATTGGATCTTTGAAGTAAAAAGTTGGGCTAAGTGGAAAAGTCATCAAAATGGTCTGAAGGTGTAAGAACCCCTGATATACACATAATTTTTTATTTAATAGCTGTAAATCCCAGTGTTCTGAGCTCTGACTGTGTTTTCTAATGTGTCTGTGCAGCTGGAGAAAGCCCAAGAGCAGGAACAGGATGATGAAGACCAGTCTCAGGCTCAGAGCCAGGCATCTGAAAGCCCTCTCTCAGCCGCAGAGGGACCCAAGAAGCCCGGCCGCAGGAAGAAGGTCGCAGCACCACCTGCAGCAGAGGCGTTGGACCTGGAGAAGGCCAGTCCCATCAAGAAAGTGGCCCGGGCCCGCAGCAAAGCCAAGGCTCTGGCCAAAGCCCAGGCTCAAGCAGAGGCCGAAGCGCAGGCTGCGCTAGCAGCAAAGAGGCAGGCGGAGCGGAGGGCGCAGGCTCAGAGACGAATGGAGGAGAGGAAGAGACAGCAGATGATCTTAGAGGAGATGAAGAAGCCTGCAGAGGACATGTGTCTCCCCGACCACGCGGTGAGCCTGATGTGCTGAGGGATTCACACAGACTACACAAGTAGGGCTGTCACAAATCCTTGAATCGAGTACTCGATTTAAAAAAAAAAAATTGCATTTTGCCCATGTCGAGTAACCGGCAATATACCAGAAGTGGCACATTCCATGGATGAAAATCTATGAAATGCATTATTAGACCATTTTCCAAGGCTGAACAAAATCATAATAAAGCAAAATGCTATTGTGAATTCACAAACGCTATGATTCAGTTAAATAAATATATGGGATGCAGGTTTAATATATGCGCTTTTATTATTAACATGCGTGTAGTTTACATAAGTGCATCTCGGAGCAGCTCCGTTCACAGTAAATGCTGCTCCACACGAACTGTTTTCATTTATGTGTTGAGCGTCTGAAACAGTGGCTGTAGCATTTCTGTCGTAAAGAAATGGCCAAATATTACAAATTTAGTGGACATTTGAATTAAATGTTGTTTAGTCAATATTAAACAAGGATTAGATCTCGCAGTAACGTGTAAAAATAATCGTCAGGCCATTGGTGCCCTCTGCAGGCATTTGTTATAATGTGTAATGTAATGTTACATTGCCTCATTGCTATTATAGTATATGTATTTTAAGTAGAGGCTATTGTATTTTAAAGGATATTGTTTGCTTAAGTCTGTTTTTATTACTACTAAAAATAAGAATTATAATTATCCGACTACTCGATTAATCGGCAGAATAATCGACCGATTACTCGATTTAAAAAATAATCGATAGTGACAGCCCTATACGGAAGTTTCCTCATTTGGCAAAGTTTACTTTGGAAGCCACTTTGATACCTTTTGTGAATTTGAGTTAATTTTTCCATTTGAAGTATCACCAAGCCAGTGTTATTCACAAAATCAGTAACTGCCATTGTTTAACACAGTGTCATAATAACCAGAGTAATATGATACATTTACAGAATCATGTGATTTGACTTCCCACTCTAAAAGAGATGTCGTTTGACACGATTCGCGTGTGCATACAGCTGAACACATAAAAAAAAAAAAAAAAAAGTAATTTTCAAAGTAAAATTTTAAAGTATACTACATTTATTGGTGCTCAACTCTGCCACTCCACACCAGTTGACACATACCAATAATACATACTGTTGATAATACTTTCATTTGAGGGACTTATACTCGTCTACTACAGTTTTTTTTTTCTGAGTGTGTCACTGAATGTTGGATAATTAAAGTGTGCTGTCTTATCTGGGATGGTTTATTCCATTACTCATTGAGTTGTCATCTCTCTCCCTCTGTAGCCCCTCCCACAATTGACACGGATACCAGGACTGATGCTTTCGGGTTTGGCCTTCTCCAATTGTTTAAGGGTGGTTGAGTTCCTGCATGGTTACGGAAAGATTCTGGGGCTCCAAGTGCCCAAGGATATTCCCAGCTTGAGCACCCTGCAGGAAGGGCTCCTCGGCATGGAGAAGAGCCAAGGCGAGCTCCTGGATCTGCTCATTAAACTGGTGGAGGCCGCTCTGCACGATCCTGGACTGCCCTCATATTACCAGGTTTATCTTTTGAGTGATATCAGTTAGGGCTGGGACAATAAATCAATCACGATGCATTCGGAAAATCTCAGAATCATTTCTCGATTCGCAATGCATTGATTTATTGTCCCAGCCCGAATATCAGTGAATTAAGTTGTTTTCTATTTATAACAGTGTCAAAAAAGTCTAAATCTCATCTGTTGCTGTCTAAAACAACTTTGAACTTGGACAGAAATTACTTAATAACTAAGTAATTACTTAATAACTAACCCTAACTAAAATAACTAAACATTAATGGAAAACAGCCTTAAAAACCAACAAGAAACCACACCCACAGCACATTAAACTTAAATATTTTGAAGTCTTATTATATATTAACATTGAATATTCAGTGGGAAATAATGTAGGATGGGTTTCACCCTAAATCTAAGGCACATGATTGGTCAGTGACTTAATGAAGGTTGGTTTGTTTCTCTTTCCTTACTCAGTCTGTGAAGATCCTGGGGGAGAAGCTGGTGGATCTGGAGCTGAGCCACAGCACTGTGTCCGAGGTGCTGCGGATCTTTCTGGAAGCCCATGGCTTTGAGTTGGAGGTGTGTAACAGTCTGCGTACAAAGAGCTTCCAGACCCTCAAACCTGACGTCAAAGCCTCCATACTGGCCTTCCTGGTGGAGGAACTCAATGCCAGCAACATAATCACCAGGTCAGCAGGAATTCAAATCATATTATCATCATATTTTAAAAGAGTTTTGTAGATCTGTATATGTAAGCGTCATTTTCCAACCGTTCTGTTTCTGCAGGGAGATTGATAACACGCTAGAGAATATGACAACCTACAGGAAAAACAAGTGGATTATAGAAGGCAAGCTACGCAAGTAAGACCCCTGCTTCTTATCCTGACAGCTTATGGTGTGAACCAGAGTCTGTTTGATATCAAAATTTGGGCAACACTTTAGGTACTAGTTCTTACTATTAACTAGCTGATAATTAGCATGCATAAGCTGTTACTAGCATAAGCTGTTTATTAGTACTTGTAAAGCATATATTAAAGGGGTCATATAATGCTGCTAAAAAGAACATTATTTTGTGTATTTGGTGTAATGAAATGTGTTCTCACCATTTTATTTAAAGGTATACATGCATAGCAATTGCTGAAATTAAATTAGTTTATTTTACATATTTATATTTAAATAAAAAAATTTTACTTGATAAAAAATATAAATCTTTAAAATATAGATTTATTTAGATGGCAACTTCTTGATTGTGTAATTCCGATATAGAATTTCTCACAAATAAAGAAATTGTTAAAAATATGAATAAAAAGTGAACACTGTAACCGACATGCATTCAGGAAATTGGCAAGTCTTTGTGCAATGGGAGTCATATTTTATTCAAATAAAGACAAGGTAACACTTATTGCACTTATTTGACTTATTGCACATAGTGAATATGACATGAATACAACATAGTGGCAAACTTGATATAAAAGATTTAACATTTGTCAAATTTAGGCCCCGTCCACACGTAGACGCGTTTGGCTGTATACGCATACATTTTGTATCGTATAGGCGTTTCGTCCACACGGATCTGGTGTTTTGGGAGAGTGAAACCGATATTTTTTGAAAGGAAAAAAAGATCGATAGGGAAAGCTCTGGCTTCGTGTGGACGTAGCCTTAGCTGTGAGATTCTCTGAAGTGTGTAGTTGTTGCCATTTATTAGATACTGTCAAGATAAAAGTCGTTTCGACGTATTGGCTGAACAGAAAAAATTATTGGCTGATGCTGGTAATTAAAAAAAAAAAAGAAAAAAGACGCAAACTATCGGCCTTGACAATATATTGGATGATCACTAGATTTCACTCAAAGATAATGGCTTGGATTATTTCTTTCTGAATCTAGTTACTCACATCGATGACTCAAAAGTACTGTGGTTCAGACACTAAAATAATCCTGCATGTGCGAGGAGGGTTTGGACCAGGTGTGAAGCAGCTCTTCTGGGACTGGCTTCGTCATTCTCATAAATGTGTGTGTCTGAGCAGACTGAAGTCTGCGCTGATGCGTAAGACGGGCCGTCCGGAGGAGGAGCTGTGCTTTGAGGAGCGCC